CCGGGGGTGATGAATTTTTGCAGCGAGGAGAAGGCTGGGGGCAGGGGAAGATGTCTTGTTTTTGAGGGCAATTTTGTGGGGTGAATATAAGCGGGAAAATTTCCCGATTTTTGGAATTTTAGGAGGGGGTGGGGGATTCCCAAAACTGTTTTTCCCGAGGGTGAGGAAGGGTTGTTGGGGTGGTTCGGAAAATTAGAGGAATGGACCCGAAACAAAATGACTTCAAAGGTGTATCAGTCTTTTAGGGGGAAGGGAAGGCGGGGTGGGGGTTTTCGGCCTGGGAAAAGGTTGGAGGGAGGGGGTAAAGGAGGTTTTGTGTGCAGGGGCTTGGACCCCCGCAGGCTTGCGTGAGCGTATTTGATGGGAGTGAATGGGTCAAAGGGTTTTTTAATACTTGACGGCTGTTGGAGTGGGGAGCAAAGAAAAAATTTTATGAAGGGGTTGGGGGGAAAACCCGGGCGGGCCCGGGATTGAGCCCCGGAGATGGGAAGTCCCAGTGCCCTGCACTCTAAAGGGAGGGGTTTTAAAGTTGCATTTTAAAAAAACTGTGTGAAAAACACCCTTCTGGCAAGCAGTGATGGAGTGAAGATGGTGAAATTTTTCCCTTTTTGGGCCACCCTGCCTTCGTGGGCCCACCCTCCCTTTCGTGGGTCACCCCCCCTTGGTGGGAATCGGCCAGGTGATAAAAAAATTAAAATAAAATGTAAAATTTTTCTCTTTACACTACAAAAGGAGTGTGGGAGCTTATATCCAAAAAACAAATAAAATTTCCCTTTACTTTGATATCGTCCCCCCAGAAATTTTGGGGTTAAATAAAAAACTAAAATTTTTTTTTCTTTTGGTTCTTTTACAATTGTTGCAACCTAAAAAAACTCTAACAAATTTCCCCCAATAAAAGGGAAAAAACCAAAGACTTTTTTTAAACCTGGAACTTTTTTAGAAAAACCCGGGAACTTTTCGTTTTTCTGGAGGGGGAACCCTTTCCAGCATTCTCTTGAGTTGTCTATACTTTAAAGATTTTGCCCTTTTAGTAACAATAGGCCCTACCGGAAAGGAATCGGTAAAAGGTTCAGAGGGAAGATTTTGTTTGTGTAGGCCTATGTATTTTGAGTAGGTCGGGGCGGCCCGGCCCCGGGAGTTCAACCCCCCTCACCCCAAACCCTGCAGTGTTTAAAAACCCCGGGCCAATTTACCTGTCAAAAAGTTAATACTTGCCCAACCCCCAACTAAACCCACCTGTAAATTACTTGCAACCCCTTTGTAAATTCCCTATCAACATCTGTTAACACCGTCAATTTTGCCCAACACCTGCCAACCCCTTTCAAAACCTGCAATACTAGTTCAATACCTGCAACACCCCTCAACACCTTTTTCCCAAAACCTGCCCCTCAATCACACAGTGAATTTATGGCAATCTTGGGGGTTTTATGAAAGGGGAAACCAATAAACCCGGGAGGCCCTTTTGGGCACATCTGTTTTGGTAAGGAAGCCCTGGAAAAGGGTGGTAGGGCCCGTCACCCCCTGTTAAACGGGATAGGATGGTAGGCCTATGGTCACACCGTTTAACAAAAGTTTAAAAAAGCTCTGGGGAAGGATGGTAGGCCTTTCGGTCACAACCCGGGTTTAAATAGGGGGAACCCTGGGGGGGGGGGGTAGGCGGTAGGCCTTAAATTTTTCGGAGGTTTTTTGGGTAGCCGGTGCAGTCTTCTCACTCTGAGTGCGACCCAGGGCTACCCCAGTGTTGAGGTTCAGGCCCATCCTTGGGGAACCCTGAAAAACAAAAAAAACACCTGTAACACAGTACAACACCCGAAACATGAAAAATTTCCCCACAAGTACAACATCTGGGTATTTTCACTGAAGATGTTTCACCATCCAGTGGCTTTATTAACCCGTAAACGGTCCAAACGTATATAGTACAGTGGACCCCCGGTTAACGATATTTTTTCACTCCAGAAGTATGTTCAGGTGCCAGTACTGACCGAATTTGTTCCCATAAGAAATATTATGAAGTAGATTAGTCCATTTCAGACCCCCAAACATACACGTACAAACGCACTTACTTAAATACACTTACATAATTGGTCGCATTCGGAGGTAATCGTTATGCGGGGGTCCACTGTATACGTTTTTTCAACATTTGAAAGAATGAAAAAAAAAAAGATCTTCTTTTTGTTTTTTTACATTTGAAAATGTGTAAAAAAAACTTTGATCTACCTTTTTTTTTGTTATATTTGAAAATATGTAAAAAAAAAAAACATAGATCTACTTTTGTAGCGCAACACATGTGAACGTAGATCTGCTTGGACCGTTTACGGGTTAATACAGATCCCAGGACATAACTTGAAGACAGTAGAACTATATACAGAAGATGACGTAATGAGTCCGTCAACCTTGGTGTTGCTGCCGACTACCTCGTCTACTGTATACGTATGGTATGGTTTGTTTGCAATCGTGTCATTACGATTTCGTGAGTCGAGTTATGTATAGTTCTACTGTC